ACTCCCGTGTTCCGGCCTCATCGCTTCCCGCTGCTGCTGCGACTGCTCCCGTTCCAGGGTCGCGGTTGCATCTGCCGCCAGTCCCGCCCGTGGCGGGAGTAGACTTTGTGGCTGTGGGAGGCGGAGCGGTGACGGCAGTTGGCCCGGCTTCTCCTGCCGTAGTGGAGCCGTTCCAGTTCCTTGCGCAGGCGCTGCAACCCCCTCAGGCCCGGGTTCCGGAGGCGACCCTCGGCCAGCTCTTCCGTCTCGCAGAGAGCTTTCACGCTCTGCTCTTGATACAGGTTCTTGCTCACTCGTCCCTCCCCGCGACCCCCCCTGAGTTGTTCCTGGATCGTCACCGCGACTCTTGTCTGGACGCCGCCGATCAGCTTGCAGGGCTGCTGGCGCCCGTGCTGGCTGCGCCCGCCGAGGGAGGCGTTGCGGCGGCGGGGCCGCTTGATGAGGCTGTGCGCGGCTTGCGGCGCCATTTGCGTGCTGGGTCTGGAGCCGCTGCGATCGGCGCAAGCACGCTTGTGGTCCGGGAGCTGTGGCGCTCCCTGACGGGCGTTCTTCACGCCCTTGGAGCTCACCGCATGTAGGCGCGGGCTCCGGCTCTGCCATTAGTGGTTTGCGCGGCTAGGCTGCTGTAGGGCTTGCCATCCTTGTATGCCTCTTGTTAGTAACTCTGTGTGTTGTGTGCTTGTCGTTCCCCCACGCGCGGCCGAAGGCCGCGCTGTCGAGCGTCGGCCGCCGAAGGCGGCCGGCGCGAGCCGCTCGGTTAGGAGAAACAACTGAGAAGAAAACCGAACAATGAAGAGAACTAGCTGCAGAGGAGCACTATATACTAGGCTGAAGAGTGCTGGAGAGGCTAAGGGCTAGCTCCTAGGGCCTCTCTCTCTCTCTCCTCTCTCTCTCGCTCGGTTAGGAGAAACAACTGAGAAGAAAACCGAACAATGAAGAGAACTAGCTGCAGAGGAGCACTATATACTAGGCTGAAGAGTGCTGGAGAGGCTAAGGGCTAGCTCCTAGGGCCTCTCTCTCTCTCTCTCTCTCTCTCCCTCTCAAGCAGTCATGTATTGACATGGTTCGCAAGGTACAAGCAAGGAGCTACCACTTGGTCTAAACGTGCAAGCAATCGTGAGTCCAACATAGCAAGACCAGCAAGCTAGGCAAACGAACAACTAGCAAAACACAGAGAACCAGCTCTCCAGATGTTGAAACAGGCCACCACACACTAGGACGAACGAGCCAGCCAGTACCAAGGCCACCAAACCCTGTCCCTACAGTCCTCCTGCTTCTGGACTCCCCCTACTGATCCTGCCTCTCTGTCCACAGTCCCTTTCCCCATACGCAGCTTCCTGCCGTCGTCCGGCTAAACCTCCCCCACTCCCACTCCCTCCCCGCCCTCTAAGCCGTTCTGGCAGGGGCTTGACGCTCCTCGTACTCATCCTCTTGCATTTGCCAGAGGTCCCCCAGCCGGGGGGCCAAGGGGTCTGCCGGCGCCTGTGGGAATGCCGCCTCGGCCGCCCTGTTCGACTTAGATAGGAGTGAAGTCGCCTGGCTGCGCTGAAGCATGACCGACCACCGCTGCCTGTAGTGTGCATTAAGGCGGGCGGCAGTGGTGGTGAGGCGCCCCTGGCGGTATTTCTTCCGTGCCGCATAGTTGGCTAGCATACGGAGGAACTGCTGGGTGTCGGCCGCCAGGGCCCCATAGGTCTCAACTGCCAAACCAAAGAAGCCGACGTATCCAGGGCGCCCTACGTAGAGCCGATGTTTTGTCTGCGACGCCTCCTCCGCTGCCCATCCTGGCGGCTTCCGTGCCCTCACATCCCTCCTCTGCAGGACTGGGTCCGTGACTGTCACGTCTGTCGCCCAGGTCTCCCCTGATTCCGGGTCCCGAACGGCGAGGTCCGCTCGCTTACTCGCTACAGGGGGAGAGAAGGCAGTCGTCTCGTGGAAGGTCCTATACCCTGCTTCCTGCGCCATGCAGAGGGCTGCAAAAACCAGGGCGTTGTGGGTGCGCACCGCATCCCCGCCGTCGGCACAACGGAGCAGATGGTTCGGCAGGCTCTTGTCAGCAGTAGAGGAGTTGGATCTCCTGCAGGGGCAAACCTCCGCTACCGGTAACTCCATGCCAAGGCGCAGGCCCAGTGCCATGGAGAACTGACCAGGGGAGATTGAGAGGTCAGCCCTCGCTGGCACTGCATGGAGCCAGTCACCTGCTCCCACTCCTTTCAAGCTAATTAGCCGAATTGCATGGCCCCTGTCCACCCCCGGCCTATCTGTGACCGTATCTGCGAGCAGCTCTTCCGCCCGCGTGTGGTTAATGGCCTTAGACAGGCCCAGCTGCAGGTTGCCCATGCCTTTCGGGTTCTCCCTATAGCTGCATAGGACTGCTACAGCCTGCGCTGGGAGCCTGGCCTCAAGCGGTGCCAGCGGGTTGGCCCGGGGGGGCGGTGGGGCCCATGTCGGGGAGAGGAGATTCCCGGCCTTGTGAAGAAGGTAATCTGGCGGCAGGTTCAGCTGCTGCAGGAGAAGGTGCGCCGCTGCAGTTGAGGCTAGGTACGCTGCTGGGGCTTCGGAGATGGGGTCAATGATTCCCAAACCTCCTAGCCGCACCGGGAGCGTGGCCTGGCGCCACAACAGACTCTGCTCCAGCTCACTTGGCGGGATCCGAAGCTTTGACGCCGCGAGCCCGGCTCCTACCAGTGCCTCGCTCCACTCCCGCCACTCCGTACGGGCCAGTGCATCCGCTGGTGTTGTGCGTAAGAGGTACGAGATGCGGCGGGAGATGCTCCGAGATAGCATGAGTAAGGCGTGCTGCGGGTTGAGTTGGGCGACGAGATGTAGCGGCGCCGCCACCTCCGCTAGCGTCCCGCGGACCTGGCCGGTGCAGAAGGCGTCGCCGCCAACCGGGCTGCCCAACACCTTCAAGCCGCCTGGGTGGACAGGAAGACCGTGTGGCAGACCATCCCCTCCTTCCTCCCACAAAGCCCACCACGCCGCGGACTTGGTAAGGTTGCAACGTAATCCGCATGAAGCCAGCTCCGTGACTACTGTGTTAAAAGCCACGCACGCCGCCTCGCGAGGCCCGACGATGGTGATGTCGTCGGCATACGCTACTATTGCCACCTCCGGTATGCTTGTGGCCACGCTGAGTAGTATCGGCTGGATTGCTGCCGCAAAAAGGAGAGGCCCCAGCGGATCCCCTTGGCGGACACCTCTGGAGCTTACGATGTGCTCCACTTCTAGACGGGGGTCCACAAGAAGCCGCGAGGAGCCATCGTAGAGGTTCCTGACAAGCGGGAGCAGCGTGTTGAGAGTAGACCACTGGAGGGCGGAGAGGAATGACGCGCGTTCTACACTGTTAAATGCGTTTTCCACATCGAGCTGTAGAGCTACGCGGGTCTCGTCGTCCTTAAGGAGAGAACGAACCGCGTGGATAATACACTCCGCTCCCCCAGGAACTGCCACGCCGAACTGTACGGGTAGGAAAAATTCCCGGATTTTCGGGCCTAAGCTGTGCAGCGCCGCTTTAGCCACCACGCGGAGCAACGCCTCGCCTATTGCGATTGGTCTAACTCCTCCCCCAGGCTTTTCCAAGGCTATGAGCCGAGAGGGGAGTAGGAGGTCGCGGACTGATTGACTCTGGAAAGAGCCGGCGAGGCGATTTACCACGTTCGTCAGCAACAGGAGGATCTCCTCGTTCGCTAGGGCTGGGTCTCGTAGGTGTTCAAAACAGCTGCCTGAAGGCCCTGCCCCTACCCCATTCGGGCATTTTGCGAGGATTTCGCGCAGAGCCTCGAGTGGGATACGGAGCTCAGAGTCAGTGATCCCGGTAACCCATGCTGGTGTTGGGGCGCTTGACGGTGGGTGTTTCGCCCGTAGGGCAGCCAGGGTCGCAGAGCTTGGGTCGGCGAGGGGGCTTGTGTGTAACGCCGCAACCGCCTTCGAAATGTTACCTTTTTTAACCAAACCCTCCGCTCTTGCGCAAACCCCTTCGTCATCGTCTTGATGCCTTAGCGGACCCCCCGTGTCGGGGATAGTGCAGGCTGCCTCGAACAACCCATCCCACTCTCCCAACTGGAACTGATGTAACCGAGCCTCAATCGCTGCCCACCGACTTCCAGTGACAGGCTCTGGTGGGGGGCGAAGTGTCAGCCTCGGGAGGTATAGTAGGACCGCCCAGGCACCTGGGCATTCTGGGTTCGTCGACAGCCGGAGGAGAGGTGCAAGGAGACACAAACAGAATTTGTCCAGCACTTGGGGTGGTAAGCGTCTGACTAGGAAGGGCTGGTCCATCCGTTGAAGGAGATCCATAGTCCACGTGCCCGCCATTTGCCAGATGGCGTCATCCTCTGCCAGGGTGGCCGGCGATTTCACTTCGTTGGTTACCGTGGGAGCTGGCACAGATACTCCTTCAGCCTGGGATGTCGCCCTGGCCACTCCCTCTCCCGTCCCTCGCACTCGATTCCTGCCTCTTCCCAAATCCTCCTCGTTAACCAGAGACACCTCTTCGGACTCCGAGCCCGCCTCCTCTCCACACATAAACTCAGGGTCCCCCATGTCCTCAGCAGGCTCAGCGTCGACCCCATTGGCTGGGGCTTCCAAAACCTCTGGGCGGTCATGGCGTTCCCGCCAAGGGCCTGTTCGTGCCTGGATCTCCGCTCCCCCCAAGCGAGCAACACCCCCGCGCCTTCCCCCTCGCCTCCCGCGATCCATACCGCGGAAACCCCGGTTCGCCGCCAGTGCTGGCTGAGGCGTCGCCGCTAGTCCCGCTCTCCCCGCCGGCATCCATGGCGTTCTGCCTCCCCTTGGTGGGCCCCACGTGACAGCACCCAAACGAGCTGAGCGACGAGTGGCGACGGCCGCCGCAGTTGGAGCTACTGGGCTTGACGGTGAGTGCGTGTGTGCTCCGCTGTCCTGGTTTGGCGCCGGCTGCTCTGCCACACGGGTTGCTGTTGCCTCTGTTGTCGCCTCATTGAGCCCAGAAACCCCCCGTGCCTCTTGCGTGTGCGCAGATGACGGCCGATGCACTCGCTCTGATGGCAGTTGCCCTTGCAGAAGCCAGCCCAGGAGGGGTCCCGGGGAGCCAGGTCCCAGCCCTGCTCCGAGCCGTCTCGGCGCTGGCTGGGCCCGCGGCTTCCTCGTCGACATCACTCGTGCAGCGCCGGAGGCGGCGCCGTTCGGGGGCCTCGGAGTCTCTCCCTCAGCCTGGACGTGCTCCTGCCTCCTTGAGGCCGCGGCAGCAGCAGGCATTTCGACGTTCGCAGCGGCAGTCGTCGCGCCTTCCGCCGTTGGGGCGTCGCCTCGCACCCCAGTCGCAGCAGACACCGCCGCCGCCAGCACGGCCAGCGACACCGGCGCCGGTGACGCGGATAGCGCCGCCTCCGCAGTCTGTTCCGGACTCGCGCCCAGCCTCGTCCCCTCAGCCTCCGCCTGTGCAGCCCGCGGGGTGGCAGAGGGCGAAACTGAGCCGGCGTCAAAGGCAGCAGCAGAGGCGCCAGCAGACACCAGGACCGCAGGCACTCCAGCAGCCGCGACTCCAGACTCCTCACCAGCCGCCACCGCGGGCGGCGCAGCCGCCTCCGGCTCAATCTCCGCTCCGTCGGTTTCCTTTGCCCCTCCATCCGCAGCAGCATCGCTCCTCGGTGTACCATGTTCCTCCGTCCCCTCCTCCGCGCGCTCAGGTCCCTCAGTCTGTGTCGGGCCCCTCGTCCTTCCATCAGTACTCATTCCAAGGCCCCCCTGTGCAGCACCCATGGGTTCCAGTAACGCCTCCTGCCCCGCCGCCCCCTCAAGCCGTGGTTCCTGGTCAGCCTCCAACTCTTGTCGAGCAGCGCGTGATGCACGTGGGGACTTGCTTGACGCTCTTGTCGTACGTGCTAGACCAGCTTCACGTGACTCTGGTGCAGCAGGAGGTGCAGATCGGGGCAATGCAGCCAGCGGAGCAGACGGCGGCAGTGGCGGCAGCGGAGGAGTTGCAGCATTACCTCCCGCTGATTGGCTTTGTGCCGGGCTCCCCCGGGGCTTCCCTCGGGCCCGGCCCTGGAGCTTTGGCACGGCTTGCCGAGTCTGCCCAGGAGGACCCTCTCGACCTTGTAGCCGCTGCCGCGTCCGTCCTACGCTGGTTGGACGGGCGGCTTTGCTGGATCCTGGTTGAGTAGCTGGTGCCTTCCCTTTACCGGCCGCCTGAGAGGCAGGCCTGGCTTTGGGCTTCCCCATGGCGGTGTAGTCACGCCCGGGGGTGTTGCTGTTGTTGTAGAATGCTACCCCAGCATGTTGTACCTCTTGCTGCTATAGTCCTTGTCGTCCCTTTTCCTTGTCTCCCCTCACGCGCGGCCGAAGGCCGCGCTGGCGAGCGGCGGCCGCCGAAGGCGGCCGGCGCGAGCCGCCGGTTTTGGGGAGTAAACTGAACTCACCAGTGAAGAATGAGCTCAAAAGGGTGCATCTAAGGACTATATACTATATCTCTCTCTCTCTCTCTCTCTCTCTCTCTCTCTCTATCTCTCTCTCTCTCTCTCTCTCTCTCTCTTTCTGCGCATGCAGAAGTGATCAGTGCTGGGAGCTCTATCCAGCAACGTTATTGCACGGATCACAGTTATCTCTGACGAGACCCCACGTAAAGCCAAGACTTCTCCTAACAATGACTCTAACATCCACAACCATAGTTACAACTACAATTAAAGTAACACAACCACTCCGCTGCTCCGCCCCACCCCTCCTCCTTCCCACCAACTGAACTCCTAGAGAAGAACACCCAACCCACAGCACCGCACACAGCTCTTGCTGTCACCCCTGTTGCTGCTTGTGCTGCTGGAAAATTTCGAGGTGAAGCAGCTTCAGCAGCAGCGGCGGTACCGAAGGCCAAGGTGACCTGCAAGTAAGAATTAAGCATGGGACCCGTCTCACTGGTCTCGACCTAGGGTAGCAGTCGGGGCATTGCGAGTATGAGGTGTGAAGAGACGAATTAGATTCGACGTTAACGTCACATGGGTTGCGTAGAATTCCCTTTTCTACCATTTTAATTTTTATATATGCATATCCTTTCACATATGCATACATATATACGAAAGTATATGCATATCTTGTTCTATTTGTATCGATATGTAACTGCATGCTAGATTAGAAGAGTAGTATCATGTAGGTTTTCTCTTGGTGGTGTACCCCCCTTCCCACATTCCAGACTCTATATCTTGTATCTTTCTTATTTTTGAACCCCTTCTTTGGCCAACTCCCTCTCGCTACTCTCCTTAAACCCTAAACCAAGGTTCTAAGTTACCATGTGATTCTAACATGGTATTAGAGCTGGTTCTCCTAAGGACCTCTTTTTTTTTCAATGGGCTCATCAGTAACTGTCTCTATGGCGCGCGCCCCGTCCCCGCGCTCGTCAATCCGCTCGCTAGCGGCCCGCCAGCGCGTGCGCACATGCACTGGCAAAATCGCCAGTGCGTTCGCGCCCGCGACATCGCCCTGCGTTGTTTTGTCGCCCTGCGCCCCCCCTTCCCGTTGCCCTACGCCGTTTCGTCGCCCCGCGACCCCCCGTCGCCGCCCCGTTCTGCCAGCGCCAGCACTGACGCCAGCCGCGAGCACCAGCACCAGCGCTAGCGCCACCTGCCAGCGCCAATCCACCAGCAGCGTTCACCGTCCCTCTTCCTCCCGCAGCTTCCACCGTGAGGGGGGGGAGGCGGGGGGGAGGAAGATAAGGGGGTGGCCAGGGTGACCAGAAATTTGCCGTGCGCTGCCTCTCCTCCTTTCTCTCTCCCTGCAGGGCTTCTCGCTGTGGAGATAGTGGGGGGGAGAGAGGTTGAAGGGCTGGTGAGAGAGAGAGAGGGTTTCTTTTCTTCTGTTTTCTCGTTCCGTAACGTTTTCTCGTCATTTCTCGTTTCGTTACTATCCGTCGTGTCTGAGCGTGGTCGCCCTCGATGCACACACCGGGCATCCACTACGGGGGTACACCGCAGGCAGGCATCCCACCGTGGGAGACAGTCCCAGCTACGGCTCAGTGATTGTTGTGTCAGAATATGTTGTTTGTGTAGCCTACAGTGGGGCACTCAATAGTGAGTACAGCCCCTTAGGGTTTGTTATTTGTATCCTGCTGCTTGCTAGTTCCATCATTCCTTCTCAATTCTATTCCTGCACACAATCTTAGCTCGTACTTGGCGCCTCCTCGTTCTAGTCCTACAGTGGCCTAGGCTACTAAGCCTAGGCCGTACTGCTACTATCTTTGACATGGTATCAGAGGGGGGCATGTCTGCCGCCTTCCTATGTATGGGCCCACCACCCGCTTCCGCTGCCGTACTGTCCGCCGCGCGCCACGTGGTGCGCGGCGGCGAAACCCTAATTTCTGCCCGCCGCGCGCTCAGGGCGCCTGGCGGGTTTCCCTTCCGTGGTGCCCGTCGTGGTGCCCTTGGGGGGGCCTCCGCGGTCCCCTCCCGTCGAAGCGCCCGTCGAGGCGCTCTCGGGGACCCGCGCGGCCTCCCCTCCCGTCGCCCGTCGAGGCGACCTCGGGGACCCGCGCGGCCTCCCCTCCCGTCACCCGTCGAGGCGACCTTGGGGGCCCGCGCGGCCTCCCCACCAGTCGCCCGTCGTGGCGACCACGGGGGCCGTGCGCGGCGCCCTCCCCGTCGCCCGTCGAGGCGACTTCGGGGGCCGTGCGCGGCCCGCCCTGTCGCCCATCGAGGCGACTTCAGGGGGCCCGCGCGACGCCCTCCCCGTCGCCCGTCGAGGCGACTTCGGGGGGTTTGCGTGGTGCCCTCCCCGTTGCCCGTCGAGGCGACTCTGGGGGCCCGTCGCGGCGCCCTCTCTGGTGCCCGTCGCAACGCCCCGGGCGGGGGCCGCGCGGCTCCCTTTCTCGTCGCCCCTCGGGGCGCCCTGGGGGCCGTGCGTTCCCCCCCCCCCCCCCCACCTCCTCCTACCTCTCACCTGCAGTGGCCGCCCCTGGAGCCGCCCGCCACTGCAGCAGCCGCCCCTGGAGCAGCCCGCACCTGCAGCAGCCGCCCCTGGAGCAGCCCGCACCTGCAGCAGCCGCCCATGGAGCAGCCGGTGCCTGCAGCAGCAGCCCCAAAACCCGCGCGAGCCGCCCCTGCGGAAGCCCGTCCCGTCCCCCCCCCCCCCCCCCCCACCCGGGGCTGCCCATTGCTCCCATTCTGCCGTGCGTTCCGCGGTGGTGGGGGTGTGGGGTGGCAAGCATGTGGGTGAGAGGTGTGGGTTCTCCCCTCCTCCTTTTTCATCTCCCACTGCTGCAGCTGCCGCTGAGGGGGGTGGAGGTGTGGGAGCTGTGGGGAGTGGAGCTAGGGGGGTGATGTGGGGAGAGGAGCTAGGGGGGTGATGTGGGAGTGGAGCTAGGGGTGAAACTTGGGGTGTGTGTAGGGGGGTGTGGGACTGTTTGGGGAGGTTGAGTGGAGGCTGCTGTCTTGTCGTCCGCAGCACCTGTAGTCCGGGTCGCACTGTCTTGGTAGCCCAAAGAGCCTGCTGCACCTGTCGCCCGTGGGTCCGTTGCTTCTGTAGCTCCTTGTAGCCCGTGAGCCAGTTACTCCAGTAGTCCGGGGCGCTGTCCCGGTAGCCACTGTGCCAGCCGCTCCTGTTGCCCGTGTGTCTGCAGCTTCAGCCGTTGTCTCCCATCTTCTCTCCTCTCACAGTCCCTCCTCCTCGTCACTTGCCCGCTGTGACTACCACTAGCTTTGCTCATAATTGTGAACTTTAAACTGTTGCTTCTTGTAATTGTGCTCAGAATGTGTGGTGATATGTGAAACAAGTGAACAGGAATGAGAAATGACTAAGTCAGAGTTGGGTACAAATGCAACCCTAGAAAGCTGTACCCCATATGTGCTACCCCACTATAGCCTACAAACATGCATCAGCTATAATACTCTGACACACCCCCATAGGCTAAGTGGGGGAGAACAAGGGGTCACAAGACCAGTCAAGCAAAGCAAAGCAAAGCAAGCTCAGGGTGGATCACAAAGTCACCACACAGTCCGAGCACAAGAGCACGGCCAGAGGCCAGTTCACATGCAGGAGTACAGACATATATATAAAACTAGACAAGCAAGAGCAGGTATATATATATGTCACAGTACAAGTGAAGTCAAGAGGAGAGCAAGTGAGGCAAGACAGGTACAAGACCCAGCTGGGTGCAAAAGCGCTGATGGTCACAAGGCGCGAGTGCCTTGGTGAACACATCAGCAGTGTTGGCCTCAGAGGCCACGTACGCAAGTCGCAACTGACCACGCTGCTGCAGCTCACGAGCAAGGAAGTAGCGGAGAGCAATGTGCTTCGTTCTGTGCTCCAAGCGCTGCTGTCGACACAAGGCCAGCATGGCCTTGTTGTCTACGTACAGCACTGGAGGAGAACGAGGCGGCTCTCCAAGGTCAGTCAGCAGGTAGGTGAGCCAGCGAAGCTCCTGTGCAGCCATGGCCCCGGCGTAGATCTCAGCCTCACAACTGGAGCCGAGAACCGAAGACAAGCGAGTAGACCGCCACGAGACAGAGCCGGAACCAAGGCTGAAGGTGTAACCCTGTAACGACCGCTGCGTAGCCTGGTCGTCAGCCCAAGAAGCGTCCGCGTGGCCGGTAAGGAACACTGGACTCCGCCCTCCAAGCACTAGCCCCATGCCCGACGTACTGCACAGGTAGCGCAATACCCTCTTCGCTGCAGCCATGTGCTCCGGTCTGTGTCTCCCAGGAGCAACATAGCGTGCAAGAATGCTCAGAGGGTATGCAAGGTCAGGTCGTGTGCAGGTCATCAGGTACATGAGGCAGCCAACAAGCTCTGCATACGGACCACTCGACTCTACGGACTCATCCGAAGGCAGAGCTGAGAGTGAGTGGCGAGTAGGCAGAGGAGTGGCCTGAGGCGAGGAGTACGTGAAGCCGAAGCGCAGAAGGACCTGCTGCACCATGTGTGACTGAGTCAAGGTAATGGTGCGGCGTGCTCTGTCCCGAGTGATCTGCAAGCCAAGGTAGCTGCGCAGTTCACCCAGGTCTGTGCACGTGTGTCTCTTCAGCAGCTCGGACTTCACGTAGGCGAGTCCAGCAGTGTCCGCTGTGGCAAAGACCAAGTCGTCGACGTACACGAGGATGTAGAACGGCGGCAGGGAAGTGTCGGTGCGAAGAAATAGCGACGGGTCAGCAGTAGAAGGAGCAAACCCAAGAGCCGCAAGCGT